AGGGTATCCAGTGTAAGTTAAGCAATAGTCAACTGTCCCTTTTAAGTATTTAAATACTCTTTCTAAGGCAGACCAATGATCTGGGTTAGGGTTACTGGTATACCGACTCAATCTCCCTACAGCATAAGCTATATCGGGTCTAGTCCGGTTTGATATGTATAAAAGGGATCCAATCATTTGGGAATATTTCAATTGAGAGACAGGTTCACCTTCATTTTTCTTCAAAGGTATAGAAGAATCATATGGTGTGGAAACAGATTTAAAGTTATGAAAGTTGAATTTGATCAGCATTTTCTCAATACTGTGAGAAAGACTCAAGGATATTCCTCTAGTGTCTCTAGTGATTTTCATTCCAAGTATCATATCGGCAAGACCTAAGTCTTTCATGTCAAAATTTTTGGAGAGATAATCCTTAACTTTTAAGATTAGTTCAAGAGTAGTTCCAAAGATAAGGATATCATCAACATAGAGACATAGGATAACATAGTCATTGTTTATCACTTTTGAATAAACACATTTGTCGTGTTCATTCACCGTGAATCCATATTGTGCAATGACTTTGTTAAATTTCTGGTGCCATTGTTTAGGAGCTTGTTTAAGACCATACAGAGATTTAACAAGTTTACAGACTTTGTTTTCCTGACCCTTGGTAATGAAGCCTTCAGGTTGGTGCATATAAATTTCTTCATCTAGATCACCATTCAGGAAAGCAGTCTTGACATCCATCTGATGTATGATCAGTTTGTGGATAGCAGCAAAGGCTAAAAGAATTCTGATAGTAGAAATTCGGGCTACAGGAGAATAGGTATCAAAGTAATCAATGCCCTTTTTCTGAGTATAGCCTTTAGCTACTAATCTAGCTTTAAATTTATCTATGGAACCATCAGCTCTAAGTTTCTTTTTGAATATCCACTTACAGCCAACAGGATTACAGCCTGGAGGTAGGTCAGTGAGTATCCAAGTATGGTTTTCCATGATAGATTTAATCTCATTATCAATGGCTTCTTTCCAGAAAGGAGATTCAGGTGAATCCATTGCTTCTTGAAATGAGCTTGGATCACCTTCAACAAGAAAGGTAAAGAAGTCTTCTCCAAAATCCTTTTGAATTCTACCTCTTTTGCTTCTTCGAGGCTCAATGTCAAAAGGTTGGGAAGAACTAGATGATGGAAGATCAGAAGGAATAGATGTTCTAGAATTTTCTGAGATTTTGGATTTGAAAGGAAAGATATTTTCAAAGAAGACTGCATCTCTAGCTTCAATGATAGTGTTGTTGGATATGTCACTGATTTCAGAGTTAATGACTAGAAATCTATTAACATTGCTATCTAGTGCATATCCAATGAAAGCAGCATCAATAGTTTTGGAACCAATTTTCCTCTTCTTAGGTTCGGGAATAGCTACCTTAGCCAAGCAACCCCAAACTCGGAAGAAGTTTAGATTAGGAGATCTCCCCTTCCAATATTCATAAGGAGTTGTATTGGAATTTCTTTGGGGAATCCTATTGAGAATAAAACAAGCAGAGAGAAGAGCTTCACCCCAGAGATTTTCAGGTGCTCCTGAACTGAGTAACATACAGTTTACCATGTCCATTAGGGTTCTGTTTTTTCGTTCAGCTACCCCGTTAGACTGTGGTGTATAGGGAGCAGTAACCTCATGAATAATACCGTGTTCTTGGCAAAATTCAGTCATATAATTTGAGGTATACTCCCCCCCACGATCAGATCTTAGGATCTTGATCTTCCTGTCTAATTGGTTCTCAGACTCAGCTTTATAGACCTTAAACCTATCTAGGACTTCATCTTTAGTCCTGAGAAGATATGTGAAACAATATCTGGAGTGATCGTCTATAAAGGTCACAAAATATCTCCTACCCCCTCGGGTGAGAACTCGATTCGAGTCACACACATCACTATGAATTAATTCGAGGGGCTCAGAGTTTCTAGTTATAGACTTGAAGGGTTTTTTTGTGTGTTTCCCTTGAACACAAATCTCACACTTGGATGAGAGGTCAATAGATGATTTAGGAATAAGATTCAAATTGATCATTTTCTGTAAAGTTTGAAAATTGACATGTCCAAGTCGTCCATGCCAGACATCACAAGATTCAACAATTTGAATAACAGGAGACTTAGAATTTTCATTAGAACTGGAATTGATTACATTGAGTTTGAAAAGGCCATTACAGATAAAACCTTTTCCTATAAAATTATTACTCTTTGTAATCACAAATCTGTTGGATTCTTTTACAATCCTATAACCAGTTCTAAGAAGAAGAGATTCACTAATCAAATTTCGACGGAGAGAAGGAACAAGGTAGACGCCTTGCAGATGTAGGGCTTTCCCAGAAGTCATAGTGAGCTTTATACTTCCACTTCCTATTATTGGTTTAGTGGAGTCATCTGCTAAGCTTATGCTTCCTCCACGTGATTCCTGATAATTTGAAAACCAAGAGCGATCATTACAGACGTGTATATTTGCTCCGGAATCCAGATACCAATCAGTGGAAGAAGTTAGAGAATTTACAAGATGAGGTGATGGGGCTAACCTGAAGGAGGTTGGATTCTCTTCAATCATATTAACTTTATTTGATCCATTTCCTTTAGAGGCAGGTTTAGCCGGTTCCTTCTTCCGAAAGAAACAGTTGGAAGAAATGTGGTTGGTTCTACCACAGACAAAGCAGAACTTTCCATCAGACTTATGGCTGGAAGAATTGGAATTGGAAGAATTTGTTTTGAAGGAAGATTTATTGAAAGATTGTTGGTTTTTCTTGAATTTCTTCCATTTGGGTTTGAAATTTCTAGATTTAGGCTTTTCCTCTACCAAGTTTACTTTAGCTTTTGATTCATTCTTGGTTTTGGAATTCAGCCTATGCTGGTCTTCAATACGAATGGCCTTGAGGGCCTCAGTTAAGGTTAGATCTCCTTGCTTGTGTCGGAGATCTCCAGCAAATCTAGACCAGGAAGGAGGGAGTTTATCAATCAAACAGGAAACTTTATAGTCATCAGTAAAAGTGTTTCCTTTTGATTGGAGATGACGGATGAAATCTAAAAATTCATGAATTTGTTCATTAATGGGCTTGTCATCTACCATCATGAACTTATTGAAGGACGAAGAGGTGAAACGCAGAATTCCGGCATCATCATAGCCATATTCTGCTTCAAGAGCTTGCCATAGGTCTTTTGCACTTTTGAACTCATAGTATATGTCATAAAGGTTGTCTGCAAGTGCACTAAGAATTCTATGACAACAATGATAATTAATATCTTCTGGTTTCATAGAGCTAGAAAGAGAGCTAGCACCTGAACCAGAAGTGGAAGGAACAGACTGTTCAGGATCAGGAGTCAAAGGTTGAGTACCACTAGTAGAAGACTCAGGAAAGTCAATGGCTGATAAGAGACCTAAGGTAGTGAGCCAGTATCTCATCTGATTAGCCCACCGTTTATAGTTGATACCGGTGAACTTCTCAGGTTTGACACTTTTTGAATGATCAATTGCCATAAGTCCAATTTGAGTTTTACTAGTCTAGGTAGTTGAAATCTGAACAGGGTAAGAATTTTATTAATACTACTAGACCAGAAACTTAATTAAACCTGCTCTTAACCAAAAACTCTAAAAGTGAAAAGATTAAAGTTTTACTCGGGTAGTTTGGCCAGGTAAGGATAGTACTAGAGGTTGATCAATGATCGATTAAGTACCTCGTTTCTTGCAGAGCGCTTTACGCAACCCTTAAACCTTTCCTTAGACACCAACTAATCCAAGAAAACTTGAACCGGTTCACTTAAAGATTTTTTTTTTATTTTTTATTTTTTATTTTTTTTTTTTTATGACAGATACTGAATATGAAAATTGACAGATATAAAATTCAGTACTATTGCAGTAAAATAATTTGTTAACTACTTAGATGCAAAAGGTTAACAAATTAAAACAGTTAAACAAATATGAAATTCGGGTGAACAGTAACAAATTTTTTTTTTTTAATATATATTTATTTTCAGATTTAAATTAACAGCAATAAATTATCTATCTTCTAGATTGCTATCAATAAACAATATTAGTTTAACTGAAAATAAATGAGTTATGAAAAATCAGGCCTGAACGGGGTGCAGTCGTGATACACTGCCCTAGAAGATAGAGGACCCGCCTGTCGCCCTGGCGTAGTTGATCCTCCCCCCTAGCGGTAAAAGCCCCCCGGAAACGGCCGGCCTCTCTACTCGGGCGCGAGTAGCAGAGCTTCTGCTCAGATGAAGATGATTGCCCAAAATAATCCTCAAAATATGTAGCCGAAAATCTTTGAGTACTAAGAGTAGCAGAAGGAGGAAGAGGGAGCTATGAAATTCTTTGTGAATTTCTGTGTGTTTTCCCGAATGAACTCTGCCTCCTTATATAGCCTCATGAACCAGTAACCGATGCTGAATCTCCTCGTCCGTTGGGCGTAAATCACGCTGCCGTTACATAATAAATGCTGCCGTTACATAATAAATGCTGCCGTTACAAAAAAAAAAAATAAAAGCTGGAGAAGGAGCTCAAACACTAGTAGGCCCAAAACATTACTCAAAGCCCATTAGGAAGTGAACCATTATAAACCACTTGAACTTCTCTTCAACTTCCAATGTGGGACTATTCACAATTGCCTTTTCCTTAAGAAAATGCTAACAATAACCAACTTTTGGCGTTAAATCTCAAACACATGCTTCATTCTTATGTTTTTTTCTAGAATATATGATTTTTAATTTTTCATGATTTAGGTCCAACTATTTTCGAATCCCGGGCGTAAATAGCAAAGCGGGTCAAATTGTTACCAAAACGAACCCGCATCCGAACCCGTAGCTTTTTCCAGTCAAATTGCCAGAACAAACGCACGAACTCAACGCACCATTACCGAAACTGACACCTGAAACAGAACCGCCACGTGGCGTTCATTTTCTTTCACCGTCCACCTTTTCACCTTCTTCCTCAATCCAAATTCACCGCTTTACATAATAACCTCGTTACGGGCAATTCATCAGATTAAAAACAGCGCAGTTAAAAAAAAAAATTAGCAGTGATAATTCTCCCGCTCTCGTCATTCAAAATTCTCTTTGAAAGCTCAAATTGCCATTCTTTTATATATAAAATCAAAATTCAATTTTCATCGCCATTTTCTCTCTTCGACATAACAAAACCCTAGCTCTCTAGATCTCATCTCCATGCCTCCAGGCGCGAGAAAGAGGAAAGCGGCGAAGCGAAAGAATCAGAGGATGGCGGCCGTCGACAATCAGCACCGTCAGCAGCAAGATTCTTCTACGAGCCCTGACCCTAACCCTAGTTCTCACGGTTAGATTCTCTTTCTCTTTTACGATCGTTGATCTTTAGATGATTCTTGGTTAATTGGTCGGATCTGATGCAGGGAATGAGATCGAGACGACGCCGGTTGTAATCGAGGACGACGGCGATGAACCTTTTGAGACGCCGAGGTTTCAGCCGGAGACGCCGAGGATTCCGCCGGAGACGCCGTATTATTCGTTGGAGAGATTGAGAATTGGAAGAAGAGATGATCTCGAGGGCTTGAGGTTTCTAGCGGAGACACCATATTATTCGACAACGGATAGTGAGGAAATTGCGAGGAGGGATGAGATTGAGGGATCGAGTGAAGAGCGTGTTCTTGTTGGGGAGAATTCTAAGGGTTTTGATGTGGAGATTACTTCCAAGGATGAGATTGATAGCTTGGGAGATAGAAAATTTGAGGAATTAGAGAGTTCTGATACTTCGGAGGGTTTGAAAGAGACGAAAGATGAGGTGACATTGGAGAAACCGGAGACTGAGAATGATGTTCAATTGATTGAGAAATATGTTGATGTTGATGAAGAGAGGACTCCCAATGCTTCTAGTGGAGCAGTTGATGTTTCCTCAATCAACGAAAAGGATGTGAAAGTAGTGCCGTGGCCATATGAGGAGATAGATTCCATTAATGGAGAAGCAAAGGCTGGCATCGAGAATGGTGACAGAGATATAGAAACAAAGTTTGACAAGGATGAGGGTTTAAAAAAGAAAAAAATGGATAGTTTGATTGAGAAGAAAGAACATGAGTTTCCTGCTACTGGGAATTCCAAGGATGTTCTTGAATTAGTTCAAGAAATTCTGCCTCAGACTGATGCGGATTTCACAAGTGATAAGTTGGGGAAATCTGCTGAGAAGAGCTTTTTACCCATTAAAAGTTCTGGTCTTATTGCTGAAGAGTCTACGGATAAAGCTGAAATTATTGAGAAATCTGTTGCTGTTAATGAAGAGAGTACTCCCATGACTATGATCGAGGCAATTAATGTTTCTTCATCCAATGAAAAGGTAGCGAAAGTAGTACCATGGCCAGATGAGGATATAACTGCTGTTAATGGAGAAGTGAACAGTGATACTGAAGTTGTTACTTTTGAGAAGGAAGGCGAGGTTGATGGAGACAGAGATCTACAGATGGACGTCCAGAAAAATAAGGGTCTAAATGAGAATAAATTGGAGAATTTAGTCGAAGAGAATGAACAAACTTTTCTTCATATTGAGAATTCTAAGGACTTCACTGGATCAGTTGAAGAAATTCTTACTGAGATTGATGAGGATTGTGCTACTAATAAGCTGGACAGGTCTGCGGGGAAGAACATCTTACCTGTTAAATGTTCTGTTCTTATTACTGAAGAGACTGTGGATGAAGCTCAATTGGTCGAGAGCTCTGTTTCTGTAGATGAAGAGAGGACTCCCAATTATTCAATTGTGGCAGTTGATGTTTCTTCATCAGGAGAAAAGGAAGTGAAAGTAGTGCCATGGTCAAATGAGGAGAGAGATTCCATTAATGAAGAAGTGAATGATGATTTTGAGGTTGTTACGTCTGACAAGAAAGGTGAGGGTGGTGGAGACAGAGATATACAAAGACAGTTCCAGAAAAGCGGGAGCGTAGAAGAGACAAAATTGGAGAAGTTGGTTAAGGAGAATGCACAATTAAATGCTTTTACTAAGAGATCTAAGGATGTTCCTGAATCAATTCAGGAAGTTCTACCTCGGATTGATGAGGATTTGAGTAATAAGTTGGAGAAATCTGCTGAGAAAAGCTTCTTACCCGTTAAAAGTTCTGCTCTCATCACTGAAAAAACTGCAGATGAAGCTCAATCGATCGAGAAACCTCTTTCTGTTGATGAAAAGGGGACTCCTAATTCTTCAATTGGGACAGTGGATGTTTCTTCATCCAATGAAAAGGAAGTGAAAGTAGTGTTGCCAGATGAGGGGGTAGATTCGGTTAATGCAGAAGTGAATGGTAATATTGAGATTCATAATTCTGAGAAGGGAGGTGAAGATGGGGATAGAGATCTACAAACAGAGCTCCAGAAAAGTAAGGGTTTGAAAGAGTCAGAATTGGATAATCCGGTTAAGGAGAATGAATACTTTTTTCCTGGTGCTGGGAGTTCTAAGGATGTCGATGGATCAGCTCAAGAAATTCTGCCTCGGATTGATGCTGCTTTGATTAGCAATAAGTTAGATAATTTTTTTGAGAGGAGCTCCTTACCTATTAAAAATTCTCTTCTTATTACTGAAGAGGTAACTCAAGGCAATAGAGCACAACATATGAATCCAGAAAGCGAAGTTGGCACTATCAATTTTTCACCAGTAAAGGAGGCTGCAGATCCCTCTCCTGATGCTACACAAATTGAGATTGCGGAGAGAAATGAGGTATGCAAATTATGTGGTGTTTTACTCAGTCGTTTAGCCTTCTATTGCACGGTTTATTGACATGGTTTTTGTTGTCATCTGCAGATTGCATGCAATCGACCAGTAGTGCGCCGTGCACCATTTTGGAATTGTTGCGGTTTATTTGAAGTTCTTACAAGCGTCAATAAATAAGCAGAGGTAAGGAGAAGAAGAAAGCCTCTCTTTTGTTTATCTTACTTGAGAGTTGAGAATAACTCTTTGCCCATACATCAGTTCAGGTCTAATTGTTGTCTGATTCGAAGAAAAATAGGATGCCCTTGAAATGCATGTCACTGTTCTAATCTTTCCTTGGGGTTGGGGGTTGTTTTCAGAGGGGGAAGAGGTATAAAGAACCAAAATCTTTAAAAGTATTTCACAGGTTCTTTAACAATAATTTAGTGGCAAAAAACCCAAATAAATCTTCATTTGTTGAGAGCTACACTTGTCAATCAGTTCATTTGTTGAGCATCAAAGTATTGTAGGTGGATGCTCTGAGCTCTCGTATCAGCCTATTTATTAATGTGACAACAGTGGGAGATTAACTCCACACGAACACAGAACAAACTATTTGGCATTTAAGAGTTCTGATTTAGGCAAGTGATTTCCGATTTTAGTCCATTTTGGATAGTTTTGATCCAATGACAATCAGGTTTTCTTTCCAGAAAATTTATCATTTTTGTCATGGAGTATAATCCACAATGTTGTCCATTTTCATATGTTTCAGCACAATGAAAATTAATTAATTGGTACTTTAAAATTCACAATTTTCATGAACACCCACGATCGTTGTCCATTTTTTAATCATTTTGATCCAATGACAATTAAATTTTCTTTCCTCAAACTTCGTCTTTTTTGGCTATAACCCATAATTTTTGTCCATTTTCATCTATTTGGACTCATTGACAAATAATTAGAGTAATTCAAAATTCTCAAATTTCAAGAGTTATAACCCATGATTTTGTCCATTTTCGGTCATTTCTACCTACCCAATGACAATTTACTTTTTTTTTCTGTGAAACTAACAGTTTTCATTGGCTATAACTTGCAATTGTGTTCATTTTTATCTATTTCGACCCAATGATAATTAATTGGCATGCTTCAAAATTCCCATTTTTCATGGGCTATAATACACTATTTTTGTCCATTTTAGTTCAATGGCAATTAAGTTTTCTTTCCTCAAAATTCACTATTTTCATGGACTATAACCCCCATTTTGGTCCATTTTCACCTATTGCGACCAAATGACAATTTCCACGGATTTCGTCAATTTTCAGCTGTTTCGGCTCAATAGGAATTAAGCTTTATTTCCTTAAAACTCACCATTTTTTGTGCTATAACTTATGATCTTTGTCTGTTTTTACCTATTTCAACTAAATGGCAAGTAACTGACATATACTTCAAAATTGACAATTTTCATGGGCTATATTATATGACCTACGATTTTTGTCCTGGTATCTTGAAAGTTTCTCTTCCAATCAATATTGAGACTTGCAAATATCTGTATCCTTAATTTATTATTATAATAGCAAATGTTCTTGTTTACAACGATGTTGGAAAATTCATTTGTTTCATGATCGTCCTCTTACTCTTTCTTTACTTCTTCCTTTCTTCCTCTTTCCTTTTCTCTCTTCTTCTCCTGTGCCTTTGTTGCTGTTGGGAGCGCGAGGTGCTCGCACTGTCGCGGAAACTAGATTATCCCGAGAGAAAACAATCCTAGCTTGAGTTTAAGCCAAACTCAAACTAACCAATATAAGTAATAACGAATACACAGATAGACAGTAAGTAAATAAGACGAGACAACAGATTTACGTGGTTCGGCAAACTTACCTACGTCCACGGGAGCAGCACAATAATTTCTTATTCAACCACAAGAAATTACAAATAAGAGAGAGGATCTCAAACTTGAGATCTCTCTAACAAATAACAAGTGATTTTAGTATAAAATCACTGTTCAAGAAAACCGCAGAGAAAAAAAAACGCTTTTATTTCTCCGCTCTCTCTCTCTGCTCTTCCTCCGCTCTCACAGCTCACGAAAGGGGGTTTCCCCTTATAGGCCGACGCCCCGTGCCTCGCTGCTAGCACCACAAGCCCCGCGCACCTCGAGCCCCACGCCTCGTCGTGAGCACCTCGAGCCCCGCGCACATGACGGGTCGCCAGGCCGCGAACGACGCCTACAGGCGAAGACCCGCAGCCGCACGCCTACAGGCGAGTTCGATCTCTCCCGCAGGCGAATCCTCGACATCAAGCGAGTTAGATCTCGCCTCCACGACCCGAGCTCCATCAGGCGATCTCCTTCAGACCCACAGGCGAGGTCCACGTCGCCGTTCGCCTCCGAGCTCAGGTGAGATCCACTGACATTCACTTCAATTCTCCACCTCGTACATCATTTGATAAACCTCAAATTTTGGACGAACAGATGAAGAACACCGCGAACACCAACCAGGCCAAACCAGGCCAAACCAGCTGCGCCACTATACCGTGGCTGTCTACGTACCCTCCACCGAGATCAAACTAACCGTAGTTCTGTAATTGTTCTCTCGGGCAGATCAACACGGGCTGATATGGAGCAAGTCCAAGCAATGCTGAAACTTGCTACCTGTCACCATCTTGGTTAACATGTCTGCTGGGTTCTCATTCGTGTGCACCTTCATGAGAGAAATATCATCTTCCTCTATTACATCCCGCACAAAATGATACCTGACGTCGATATGCTTGGTACGAGCATGATGAACTTGATTTTTTGCCAAATGAATTATACTCTGACTATCACACCACAAGTTCACGCAATCCTGCTCAATCCCCAAATTGTCTAACAGACCCCACAACCACAATGCTTCATTCACTCCCCCCGTCATGACCATGTACTCGGCCTCTGTAGTAGAAAGTACCACTGTAGCCTGTAACATCGATCACCAACTAACTGGAGCCCCATGTATACTGAATACATAACTAGTAGTAGATCATCGTCTGTCTAGATCGCCCGCATAATCTTAGTCCACAAACCCATCAATTTGATATGTCTCTCCACCAAAACACAGACCCGTATCTGCGGTACCTTTCAAGTACCCCAGGACCCATTTTACTGCTTCCCAGTGCGTCTTTCCCGGATTCGTCATAAATCTGCTGATAACACTAATCGCCTGTGAAATATCTGGACTTGTACACACCATGGCGTACATCAAACTGCCAACTGCACAAGCATAAGGAACACGTTTCATGTGTGCCTTATCTTTTGCTGTAGTGGGAGATTGTTTACCTGAGAGCCTGAAGTGTGGAGCCAATGGAGTCACCACCGACTTAGCACTTTACATCTCGAACCTTGCGATCACCCGCTCAATGTAGCTCTTCTGACTCAAGAACAATCGCCGATTCGCCCGCTCTCTTCTAATCTCCATACCCAGTATTTTTCTTGCAGCGCCCATGTCCTTCATTTTAAACTCTTTATCAAGTTGAGATTTTAGCCTATCTATCTCCACCTTACTTCTCGAAGCAATAAGCATGTCATCCACATACAAAAAAAGATAGATATAATCACTTCCTTGAAGCTTCCGAATGTAAACACAACAATCATAATCGCTTCGGAAAAACTCATGCTTCAGCATGAATGAGTCAAATCGTTTGTACCACTATCGAGGAGATTGCTTCAGTCTATAGAGTGACTTCCTCAAGCGACATACATGATGCTCCTTATTCTCAACCTTGTAGCCCTCAGGTTGATGTATATAGATCTCTTCATCCAAGTCTCCGTGCAAGAAGACCGTCTTGACATTGAGTTGTTCCAGCAGCAGCTACAATACTCAATAGCACCCGAATAGAGGTATGTTTTACCACCGGAGAAAATATCTCATTGTAATCCATACCCTCTCTTTGTGCAAACCCCTAAGCCACTAGCATTGCCTTGTACCTCGTACCGCCGAGCTCTGAAGAATCTTCCTTTCTTTTATACAGTCACTTACAACCTATAGCTTTCTTTCCTACGGGCAATGGGACCACCTCCCATGTTTGGTTCTTTCGAAGGGATTCTATCTCCTCCTCCATTGCAGCCAACCAATTCTTGCTATCTCTATCACGAATAGCTTCTTTGAAGGAGACCGGCTCATCTTCCTCCACCAAGAGTGCGTACTCAACCAAATTAACCTGCCCATAGTGCTTCAGGTGTTGATCAACCCTCAGCTTCTGCACCTGCTTGTATGCTCGTCTTGGTCTAATGGAAACCAAGCTATCCTCGAGCTGCTGTTGTTGTAGTGCCTGCCTCCTCCTGCTCAAGCTCATCATCTACCTGATTTCCTACTTAAACACGACTAGAACCTGGTTGGTCTTTAGGTTCTACCTTAATAACCTGGGACTTAGAATTCCCACCAGTCTCAACACCATCATCCTTGGGCATCCTAGCAATCATGGACTTCTCATCAAAGGTAACGTCCCTGCTGATCACGAACTTCGAATCTTCTGTACACCAAAGGCGATAGCCTTTTACACCCTTTGCATACCCCAAGAATATTACCTTCTTGGTCCTCGCATCAAGCTTTCCCTCACTGACGTGATAGTAGGCGGTACATCCGAAGATTCTGAGCCTCTCATAATCTGCATGTTTCCCTGACCACACCCAATAGGGTGTATCACCGTCCAATGTCAAATGTGGAGATCGATTCACTATATAGCAAGCTGTAGCAATCGACTCTACTCACCATTCTTTACCCAAACCAGCATAAGATCGCATACTCACTGCTTTCTCCTGCAGTGTTCGGTTCAGTCTTTCCGTGACCCCATTTTGCTGTGGTATAGACCTGACTGTCCAGTGTCTGGCAATCCCCTTCTGATCACAGAACTCCTTGTAAACACTGTCTGTATACTCTGTACCGTTATCAGATCTCGGTGTCTTCAATTTCTTGCCTGTCTTGTTCTCAACCATCGCCTTCCACTTCTTGAATGTCTCAAATACCTCATTCTTATGCTTCAGAAAATATATCCAAGCATACCTCGAATGATCATCTATAAATGAGACAAAATATTTGGAATTACCCTTAGAAGTTGTCGAAGCCGGACCCTAAACATCCGTGTGCACATAATCTAGTATCCCTCTGCTCTTGTGTTTGCTTGTCAGAAACCGGACCCTTTGTGTTTTTCCATACACACAGTCATCGTAAAAATCCATGTAAGGCTTCTTCAGATTCTTCAACAAACCATCCTTACCTAGCAGAACTAGACCCTTCTCTGACATATGCCCAAACCGCCTATGCCATAACCATGTGTGCTTACATGGGTCTCCATCACTTCCATCAGTTCCAACCGCTGCATCTCCTGTTACCGTCGTACCCGAGAGAGTATATAGATTACCGTGACGAACACCCTTCATCACTGTTAGGAAACCTCGAACAACCTTCTTCACTCCGTTTTCTGTAGCAATCTTGCAGCCACCGGAGTCCAAAGCACCCACTAAGATAAGATTCTTCCGCAAGTCGAGAACGTGCCGCACGTCCGTTAGGGTTCTGACCACTCCATTATGCATCTTGATTTTTATATCACCGAGCCTCACTGTTTTACAAGCATGGTTATTCCCCATCAATACGGTTCCACCATCAATGCTCCTGTAGGTAGTAAACCACTTCCTATTTGGACACATATGGTAAGAGCAACCAGAATCAAGTATCCACTTCCCGGAGGTATCCTCGCCACCCGTGACGACATAGCATTCCTTATCGTTCTCTTCCCCTGAAGCATAGCTCGCCTCTTCATTGCCTTCTCGTTTTTCAGTTTTGTTGTTGTTCTTCTTCCCACCTACTCTCTTGTTAGGACAATTGACTTTAAAATACCCTAGCTCACCGCATTTGAAACACTGTCTTTCCGCAAGAGGTCTTGATTTTGATCTAGACTTTTCTCCCTTGCATTTTCCTCGCTCATTGCCCCTTCCTCTGACGAAGAACCCCTGTGCTTGTTCTTTGTTACCACTAGTGGTCATATCACTAGTTGTAATTTTTCGAAGATCATCTGTTAGAAGCGCCGTTCTAGTCTCATCCATCGATAAACTGTTACCCACAAGCATCAGTATTTAAACCAGATTCTCATAAGACTTCGGCAGAGATAGAAGTAGTAGAAGTGTCTGATCCTCGTCTTCCACTGTCACCTCAATGTCTTTCAAATCCGATAAGATCCTATTGAACTTGTTGATGTATTCCCGGATTGATGAACCCTCCTCCCTCTTGCAAGTATACAATTTGGATTTTAAATAACTCCGGTTCGTTAGACTCTTCGTCATGAAGGTGCTCTCTAACTTTAATCACACGTCCGTAGCCGTTTCCTTCCCATCCACCAAGAAAGCTACATCCATTTCAAGGCAAAGGATAATCGACGCCCGTGCTTCCAGATTCAGTTCCTCCCAATCCTCATCAGACATATCCTTGTGCTTCTTTTCTTTTCCCACCAAAGCTTTGTGCAACTTTTGCGAAATTAATGAATTTTTCATCTGCATCTTCCAATAGGAAAAATTATTTTTCCCATTGAATTTTTCAATCTCGTACTTTCCAACTTTAACTGTTTTACTTGTAAACATCATTCTCCGCTTGTCCGCTTCTCTCAGGAATTTTAACAAATACCTTGTGTTTTACCACACAATAACCAAGCACCACCTCAGATCAGTAGCTCAACAACCGCCAATCTGAATAAAGGCTCTGATACCAATTGTTGGGAGCGCGAGGCGCTCGCACTGTCGCGGAAGCTAGATTATCCCGAGAGAAAATAATCCTAGCTTGAGTTTAAGCCAAACTCAAACTAACCAATACCAGTAATAACGAATACACAGATGGACAGTAAGTAAATGAGATGAGACAACAGATTTACGTGGTTCGACAAACTTGCCTACGTCCACGGGAGCAACACAAAAATTTCTTATTCAACCACAAGAAATTACAAATAAGAGAGAGGATCTCAAACTTGAGATCTCTCTAACAAATAACAAGTGATTTTAGTATAAAATCACTGCTCAAGAAAACCGCAGAGAAAAAAACGCTTTTATTTCTCCCTTCTCTCTCTGCTCTTCCTCCGCTCTCACAGCTCACGAAAGGGGGTTTCCCCTTTTATAGGCCGACACCCCGCACCTCGCTGCTAGCACCACGAGCCCTGCGCACCTCGAGCCCCACGCCTCGCCGCGAGCACCTCGAGCCCCGCGCACATGACTTCGATCTCGCCCGCAGGCGAATCCTCGATCATCAGGCAAGTTAGATCTCGCCTCCACGACCCGAGCTCCATCAGGCGATCTCCTCCAGACCCACAGGCGAGGTCCACGCCGCCGTTCGCCTCCGAGCTCAGGTGAGATCCACCGACATTCACTTCAATTGCCTTAAAAGAATAGTGTTATACATTACCCACTCTCTCATCTAGGTGCCTAGATGCTGAGTGTTGGCTGTCAGAAGTGCCCAATGGTTTCTAAAAATCTTTTTTGTTTCCATGTTTGCATGTAAACCTGCTCTGTATAGTGTATTTTTTTGTTTAAAAAAATCCCCTTTATTTTTTCACTTTTGAAGGATTACGTTGTTAGAAGTAAGTATTAATTCACTCCTCAAATTGTTTTTAGTTGTTTGTTTTATACCTTGCCATATTGAAATTTATTGTCAATGTATGGATCATAGTTTTGTAGCTCTCTCTAAGATACATGCATCATCTCTTGCTGCACCATATTAACTAATGTTATGAGAGACTCTCTTCTTTCATATTGTCATGTCTAAATCTAACTTGTACCAAACTACGATATATTCTCTCTGGCCTCCAAATTCTGGGACTAACTAGAGGACAGAATCTGAGCCTAAGGTATAGAAGCTAGTTTGCAACTCATAAAACTAAGTATGTCTCGGAATTGGATCAAACTGCCTTACTAATTTCACTAATACATTATGTTCCCTTTTTACTGAACAACGGCACGGAGGGCATATTGGTTATACTGATCATAGAATAGTCAGTATGACTTTAGCTGATATTATAATAATTAATCTGGTTCTTGTGGATCTGCTATCCACCTGGGTAATATTACTGTCAACTGCAACCTGTGAGCTTAGATCATTAAACTCAGATGAGGGGAAAGAACTGAGGATGTAAAATCTATTCCCCTGATGTAATTTAGAGGCCGTATAAAGTATTTTGTTTGTTATGTAGATTGCCTGATACATTTTATTTGCATTAAGAATTTGTTCTTCCTTTATTTACATACTTGTCCCTTGCCAGGGAAGGGAATTTGCAAGATTGCTAAGATGAGAAAATTCTAACATCTCTAATGATTATTTTGCTGTTTTCCTAGCCCATCAATTGTGAGTTGTGGATTTGGTACCATAGCATGGAACCTTATATGTCAACTTGCTCAGCTCTGGACTCATAGGTTGACTAAATACAAGAGTGAAGGCAAAAAAAAAAGTATGAGAGGATAGGTTTTTAATCTGAGACCTCTATGAAATAACTAGATCCTTTTAGATTCAAATATCCAAGTTAAAAAACTACGAAAAAAGCACCAACCAGTTCTGGAAGAACTTGCTGTAAGCAAATACTAATTTGGACTGCATTTCACTAGAAAATTCACATTATTGGTAAAAACAGAAAGTACTGATCCAAAACGCTGGATATCCATTCGAGATATTTCTTAAATTTTTTCTTTAGCGTCTCCTTATTAAGATGTGTATTCGCATCGTGGCATGTTGAATAACTTGTTCTGAAGGCTCATATGTAGTATTCCACCTTATTCTATCATTTTGCAAATTTTTTCTCACGCTTAACATTTTCATTTCACACAAACAGATAATGACATTCTGGAAATAATATTGAGATTATTACTTTTCACATTATTCTTAGGATTTTGTGTATATATACCCCCCAAATCAACCGTAGTTGCGACAAAATCTAGATATTTGCTAAGTTAGCTCCAAAATCTCCAGCATCGGTTTTTGTGACCTCAATTTTCAAAATCACTAATATACCCCTGATTAGGTTAATTAATTTTGTTAATATTGCCCCTCCTCCCTCGCTTTCTCTCTCATTCTCTCACTCTATTTTGTAATCTTACAGTTCATTTCACAGGTTTTGGTACTTCATCCAGTTTTGACATCCAGTAAGTGCGATCCTCTTCTATGTTATATATACATGCTTCCACATTACGGACACGCAAAAATGTTTAGGATGCTCAAAAATTAAGACTTGTACATCACATTTCATGAGGAATTTGTTAATTGTCCACTCCAAGCTACATTTGCTTTCATATGCAGTAACGATATGTTCCTTTCCTGTGATTTCAGAATGACAACATGTGAATCTATGTTGAAAGAAGCAGAGCATCTTAAGAAGGCCAATAGCAGCTCAATCCTTTGAGCTGGTGAGAAGCAGAATTTTTTTTCCCAATAATGATGACATCATTAGTCCATGATACAGCTTTCTTGCGACTCTCTGTCATCTGCTTATCGAATTTCTTCATTACTGTATATCCGTTAGTAATTAGTTTCGTTGTTAAAACCCTAGACATGTGTTCATGTGAGCGTACATCATTTGATAATTTTGACTGGACATTCAGGTTATCGATGTGGCTTAATGTGTAGATATCCAAAAATCAAAGGCGTTCATCGCACGTTTTGTATGAAGTCTGTGTGACTTTTTGATTCAGTGTCATCGCATCATATGCTGGTGATTATTAGAACTCTGTTGTTACTGATACTTAATATACGTGTGGAATTCTATGCCTTTGGTAGGAAGGAAGCTAACAAATATCAGAGATTGCATATGGACATTTTTTTCATGCTAATCAATCGTATATAGAGGTCTCTAATAAGATGATATTTTTTTTCCTGAGAAATTGTTTATTAGGGGTGCTTTTTTAAATCCGTAGTAGATATCCATTATCTCATTGCCCCCTTGGATGGTGACGCATTTATGACTATTTATTTATTTATTTCATCTGTTTACAAGTTATACACAGCGGGACCATAACATAGAGCACATGCCTGCACGTTCATCACCATTTAAATTCAATTGCAGCTTTTGTTTCTTCAGTAGGGTATGGATCTACAGTGAGGCGTCCTCTCTTGTTCAGTAAGAAATGGATCTATTGTAATAAAATTATATATCGAAGAAAACAGAGGAGATTAAGGAGGAGTAACAGATTTAGATATAAAATCGTGATCGATGACCCGGTAATTTAACAAATTAGCTAGGAATAATGATAGCTAAACTATACTTTTCTACACTATTTCTACGTTACAAAAGAGAAAAGTGTAGGCTTCCTTAATTGAATCTTCAATTTTGAAAATAATAATAATAACAATAAAGAGGTTGGATCTCACGCTTTTCTCAGTTGTAGTGTAAAAGCTATGCAAGTGGAAAAGTCTACTCGTTAGTTGATCCCTTTGTTTGAATAGAAAGCGAAGAAGATAAAGGGTGTCAAATTCTATACTTGGTCTGAATATTTGCTTCGATTGCTCAAATAATAAATGAGAATAAAAAAAAGATATAGACGCACATGAATCACGTATTTGAGAAGCTAGCTCCTAAGTTTATCTTGAATATCATGCCAGAACCATTTATTAATTTCACATTGCGCCCGTCTGTTGATCGAGATGTTTACTCCTCTCTTTATCGCTACCCTACTGCTATCGTTGTTGGCAAACTGTCTTGTTGGCTTCAAGAAAAGAGGCACGTGATTGTTCATTACGTCCTAGCAAAATTATTTTTATCCCTTGAATTTTCTTCTGACCTTTTCATTTTAACTGCTAAAGCTTGAGATTCTATAGTTTCTTTGAGGACAAATTTTTTGAGTTAGACCTATTCCCAAAAATATTTATCAAAATAGACTTGGTTTCTGTCACGTTGCCTAAAACTATATCGATTTTGGGAAAAAAAAATAGTTTGTAAACTCTACGGGATTGGGAATCCCTTAGAGTTTAGCACACAATTTAACTCTACGGGATTGCCAATCCAATGGAATTTAGAAACTTTTTTTTAAATCGACCTAGTTCTGCTAACATGACTGAAATTAGATCAATTTTGATAAATATTTTGCAAGTAAATCGAAATTGGTAATTTTTTTTTTGAAAAGGTCTATTTTAAAAATTTGTCCCTTCTTTTAAGCTTCATCATCATCATCATTATTGTTATTAAACTTCTACAACTATTTACTAGATTTATTCACATCATTGAACTTACTAGTTTTGTTTATGTTTAACCAACTAATGTTTCATATTTACTCATTAAAAGTAATACTAACATGTGTGAGTTTAGGGGATCATCATCATCATTATTGTTATTAAACTTCTACAACTATTTACTAGATTTATTCACATCATTGAACTTACTAGTTTTGTTTATGTTTAACCAACTAATGTTTCATATTTACTCATTAAAAGTAATACTAACATGTGTGAGTTTAGGGGTCTATAAATAGAGGGGGGTTTTCATTTGTTTTCTTCACACCAAAAACTCATCTCTTCTCTCTTATACTCTTATACTCTCTCTTATACTCTTATACTCTCTTATTTATACTTTCTAATCCAATCCCCAAATGGCTTCCGGATCTGATTATGAAGAGCAAAACATATCTCCCGATCCTGAATTGAGTCCTCCTACTATGAGTCCTCCTACTATCAGTCCTCCTACCGAAGTTAATCCCGAATCCGGTGGCGACGAATCTGCACCAAGAGCTCCTAAACGGCCAAGATCCGATGTGTGGAATTTTTACGAGAAGATCGACGTCACCAAGGATGAACACGGTAGGATCCTCACCCAGAAGGCTAAGTGTGCTTTGTGCGGCAAGATTTTTCAAGCTCATCATAAGAGCGGCACCAACCACCTCAAACGCCATTTAGATAAACACAACAAAGGCCAGCCTCCTCAAGGTGATATCCGACAATCCATGATTTCTCAATCCTCCTCTTCTGGTAGTCTCGGTAGTTGGAACTATGACGCTGCCAGAGCCAGGAAATGCGTAATCAGGTTTATCATTCTTAAAAACCTTCCTTTTAAATTAGTAGAAGATGATGAATTTGAAGATATGTTTAGAGATGGTTTTTATCCTGCATTTAAAAAATTTTCTCGTCAAACCTGTCAACGTGATATTTTAAAATATTATCAGCAAGAACAAGAAAAAATAATTTCTTATTTTAAAAATTTAAACTGTAAATTTTCTTTAACTTCTGATATTTGGACATCTAGAGCACAAACTGGATATTTATGTATCACAGCACACTGGATTGATGAAAATTGGCAAATGTTTAAAAGAGTTGTTTCTTTTATTGCAATAGAAGAGTCACATACTGGTGCTAATGTTGCAAATTTAATAATTGAAGAACTTATGAAATTAGAAATTTCACAAAGAATATTTTCTCTTTCACTAGATAATGCAAGTAATAACAATGTAGCTGTTGATTTTATCAGATCATCTTTATCATTGCCATGTCATGGTGATCTTTTTCATATTAGGTGCATCTGTCATATTTTAAATTTAATTGTTCAAAGTGCATTTACTGAAATTAAACCCATGATAGAAAAGGTTAGAACAGTTGCTTACATGCATAGTGCTTCTGAACAAAGACTTAAAAGATGGAAACAATTTTGTAAAAGAAAAAATGTAAAGCCTAGACTAATTCCAAAAGATGTTGACCATAGGTGGAATTCCACATATGCAATGTTAAGTGTAGCAATAGAATATAAAGACATTATAACTGATTTTATAAACTATTATGCTTCTAGTTCTAGTTCTGGTAGCACTTATGGAATAACTGAAGATGAATGGACAGTTATATGTAATTTAAATGAAATGTTACAAGTTTTTTATGATGCTACCATGTTATTATCTGGCTGTTATTATCCAACCATTACTTTAGCTGCTTTACAAATTTTAAATATTCAAAATTTTTTTGATAAATATCGTTTGGATGCTACTTTTGGACCTATGGTTTTTGAAATGGAGAGCAAATTTAATAAGTATTTTAGGCCTATTCCTCATATTTTTGGTTTGGGGGTTCTTATTGATCCATGCTTGAAGGATATTGGCCTTCGAAGTTTGTTACAGTCATTGTATGGTGGACAGGTTATAGACTTAGATGATGGAACCACCCTGAATGCTACTACTCATCATTTACTTATTAGAAATTATTTTCAAACTTTATATGATGAGTATGCAGCTAGACATGGTGTAGCTGCACAACAGTCTGCAGCTTCGGTTTCTTCGAGCTCATCCCGAGCCCGAGGTAAAAGTGTAAGTTTTGATAGGTATGCAATGGTAGCCGAGCTAACTGGTGGATCTGGACTTGGATCGTCATCATCGGAGGTTTCTGAAATAGATGAATATTTTTCTGCTTCTTTAGTTAGATGTCAAGGAAATGCTTTAGATATTTTGCAATGGTGGAAAGTATATGGATCAGTTTCATATCCTATACTTTCCACCATGGTTCGTGATTTACTAACAGTGCAGGTTTCGACGGTAGCTTCGGAATCCGTCTTTAGCACAGCAGGTCATTTGATCGACGATCATATGACATGCTTGGATCCGTATACTGTACAAACGTTGATGTGCTTACAAGATTGGTGGAGGTACGAGAAGCGAACGCAAGGCATCGATCGGATGGCTGGAATTGAAGATAAATTTGAAGAATTGGGACTAGCAGATAAATATAAAGAATAGATTGTAGTTTTTATATCTTAGCTTACAATTTGTAAAGAATTATTTTGGAAATAATTGCAAATGATAGTGATATAGGTGAGTAGGTGCCAACCTAGTTGGGATTTACTTATCTATTGTGATGCGATTAATTCCAAAATAAATTTGTACTTGTAATTTGTAACTGATTTATCAATTATTAATAAAGAATATGTTTTTATCATTTCTTATTTGTAATTTATGTCATTTTAAGTAATTAATAAAATTATTGTTTTTGTTATTTTTCATGTCTTTTTTTTATAATTTATAAGTTAAATAACATTAAAAAATTTTGGAAAAAAATAAAAAAAAAATAAAAAAAAGGAAAATCACCCGGGCCAGCCCGGAACCCGGCCCGGTCGGGCCCGGGCCCGGGCTCGGACCCGGCCCGGTGTACCCGGGTCCGGGTCCGGGTCCCGGTTTTGCCCGGCCAGGGCCCGGATTTCCGGGCCGGGCCAGGCCGGCCCGGCCCGGATGGACAGGCCTATGTGAGTTATAGCACATGCTTCTGAAATATTAAATTTAAAGTTATACTGATGCCATCAGCAACCACGCGCTTCCATTAATTAAATCCGGCTATCTATAGTATATTGTTAACTGAATATAATAAAATCATAAGTTTAGTTTTTCTATAGGATTATATACGCTCACTTTAGCTCAAACTCGTTCAAGAAAAGTATATACATGACACGTGCCTAACACGATTTTTGGGCGTACTCGCTAACATCACCAATAAGATTCAAACAAGGGTGACGTAGAAACAATGCGTAATTAAAATCAAGTTTGTCTAAAATAAGATAGACTTGCTCGTATTTATCTATGTCCAATAATTTTAGGTGGAGTCCAAGTTTTACTAAATTAAACATCTGAGGAAATAAGGGTGTGCTATAAGTTTCATCAAAGATTTTATTACCTCATATAAATTCTACATGACCTGTATTCTCCTTTCTCTTGTGTAAGTGTTTCTGTGGTC